AAAATCCATAGTTTTGAATACTTGGTTCTTAAAGCAAATACAGCAATCATATCAACTAGCTTGTGTCCTTGGGTACAATACTGCTTTTTGCTGCATGGTTTTGCTAACACATACAGTAAGAGTTTATCTATGGAAGCAGGCGTTTGGTTTGTTTAATACACCACTTTAAAGCAGACAAAATCTGCCCAGTCTTTCTTCCTTCTCTCCTTTTTCCTTTGCCATTTCCTTCAGAGATCTGTCTCTTATGCCAGTGGATTTTTTAATGTTTTCACAAAGAGCTCTATGGCTGAGTGTTACTCGAGTTTCTCAGGTAAGTGGCATAGCTCTAAGTGGCATAGTCTACCATTTTGTCTCTTGTGAAAAAGTCCTTGCAACTGCTGAAGACATGAATCGGTGTGTGGGGGAAAAAAAAAAGACAATATAGCGTAAGCACAGCATCTTGGTCCTCAAAAAGAAAACAAAGCAACCAATATAGTTTGTGTTGGCCTAACCAAGTTACTGTTTTCATCCAGGAAAGTTAAAAATGTTGTTTGAACTCCTGTTTGCACTTGCCTTATGTACTTTTGACACCTGTTTAGATGGTGTTCAGCCAAACAGGACATTTGCAATGTTTTAAACCCCTTACCTTTTACTTCCAGTTTGCAATCAACTTCTGCCTCTCCAAGCTCATTGACTGCTCGGCAGGTGTAAGTTCCTCCATCATAGGGACTGGGTTTGCGGATCTCCAAGGTACAGACACCTTGGTTGCCAAACATTCGGTACTTTGGGTCATTCATTATAATGACTTTGTTTTTCAGCCAGGTAATTTTGGGCTGTAGTGAAAACAAAGGAAATCACACATGCACAAACCTAAGAACTGAAATATTTTACTACTTTTTGTTATGTTGAGTTAAAGCTGAGTAATCCAGAAATGACACAGAATATATAAAGTAGTGATAGAAAGGAAGTTGTGATTCTTAACTCAAAAATAAACACAGGTTGCATCATGCATCTGTTTTTAAGCATGATTTTTTCTGTCCAGCTTATATCACACAATTAAAGTCATAAATATAAGCCTGTTTTGAGGTGCTCTGTAATGACAGCAGACATCTGAGCAACAGCTTTTGACGTCTGGTTACTCTAAGTCAATAAGAAAAGCATGGTTTTTTCACAGTAATTTGCACAGTCAGAAATCGTGAAGGTGAAGAGGGAAGAGCAAACATGCTGAGTTCTCATTTTACTGCATCAGTTCAGTTTCTCACAACAGAAAATAGACCAAAAAAAGACACAACTCAAATTGGAAGATGCATTGCATCTGAGAACCAATGTGGTCCCCAGAGTATTCCTGCAATGCACTTACTTAAAGCATAATCAGCTTTTTATAGAGTGCTTATGGCTTTATTTTAGTGACAACCTTTACTGATGTGTTAACCATACAGCTGTTGTCAGTGCTGGTCCCAGTATAGCCCAGCTTTTTTCTGAGGTTCTGCCTTTTCACTGAGTTATCTGTGGATTTAGGAACTATTATAACACCTATAACACAGGTAAGTAGGTCCTTTTGTGTATTCTTTAGAGCCCACGCCACTCTTTTTGCCTTCAGCCTGTCTTGTGAGTGAGACAAATAGTAAAGATGATATCACAAATTTTCTTGTCAGGTTAAACTCTCTCGTGTTTTAACTGATAATGTTCTGAGCTGTGCTGTACCTTTGGGTTGCCCCGAACACTGCAGTTCAAAGTAGCGTTGTAACCGGCTATAGCAAACGTGTTGACTAGCGGCTGAGTAAACAACGGCCGTTCACTGAAGTCAAAATCATCGTAAACTGGATATTTGTAGATCTTACCTATGAAATGAAAATAAAACATTTATAAGGAGAGTGTTGGCGTGTAGGTAAATACCCAAGCATCTTAAAAAGCTACAGAGTCAGTTCTGATCTGCACTGCTTTAGCTACCAACCTGACTCTAGTAATTGCACTTGTAGGGGAGCACTTGGAAGTCAGCCTAGGAAGTGACTACAGCCCTTGGTCATGCTGTAGCATAGATGTCTGAGAGCTCTTTGTTTCCTGAGTAGGTGGTATGCAAAATACTACACATTTATTCTGTGTCTTTGCTTGCATGCCCTGCGTGTTACAGAACAGGATGGATCCTGACTGATGTACTGCAGGATGCCTGCCTTGACAAACCATGTTCGCTCTGTTGCCAATTCCTTTTCACCATTTGTTCTGCGTTCTTTCAGACAAACTGAGGTGATCTGGTTTGATTTTCTTCCTTCAAACCACCTGCTTCCAGAATTTCCCTTCCATAAAGGGGCAGTTAGGTTTGGGTTTTTTTTAAGTCTACGGTACCATTTCAAACTGGCAATTTCTGAAATGTCAGGATTTCTGACCGCAAAATGAGAATTTGTCCAGCTCCACCTGCAAGAGACGTGAAGCAAGGATTATGCTTATCTGCTGGATCCTGCCTGAACTGGATGGGAGCATTTGCACAGCTGATGCCACCTCTCCACTGGGAGGCAGTGACCCACCATGTCTAACAAAACAGCTTCTTTATGCCTCTTCCAGCTCTTGTCAGCTGAGATCTGCCCGTGGTGACAGAAGTCTGAGATCCGAGATCGTAGAAAATGTCAGAACATGGGAAAAATGTCCCACTCTTGATTAAAAAAAAAAAAAACAACTATGGACTATGTGGACAAACCAAGAAGTCCTAATATGAAATGTCCTAGCTGTTCTTTGTACCTGATTGTGAGGCTAGGAATGCATCTGAATGCTTTAGAGATACGGTTTTTGCCTCTGATCACCCTCCAGCCTCTGAACACACCCCTTCCCTTTTGACAAGGAATGGATAATCAGCTAACCATCCTTTGCAATCAAAGCGCTCTCTTTGGTCATCGTTGCATCCTCGCTGAGGCCGCACATGTTTTCAGCAAAGACCCGGAAGTAGTACTCATTTCCTATGACCAGCTCGTTAATGGTGGCACTGGTGCGGTGGTAGTGCTCCATTACTGTGAACCATTCCTGAAAGACACAAACACAGAGAGTAAGCTCCCCAACAGCACCCCTGGCACCTCTCAGCCATTAACTCTTTCTAAGAATCATCAAGCTTGTGGGAATAAGATTTTTCTTTTAAGGCAAAGTTGAAGAATACTAAAATAGTGAAGCTAACAATAATTAATGAAATGAGTGATAATGAGAATACCACAGAGCTCACTGCTGAGTAGTGAAGGCCAAATGGAAAGTGAACCCTGCTCAGTTGTTACACTCTGTTAGCTGGCAGGGTTTGATTTAGGAAATCCAGTATTACAAAGGTTGTATTGTGTGAGGCAAGGCAAGCTCCTTCATTCCTAGTCCATGCTGCTGACAGAGAAGGTCCTGCTGCAGATAAGAAAACTGCAGGCTGGGGGGGAAAAGTAGGAGCATGTACTAGTCTGCAGTACAGTGTACTCACAGGAGGCCAATGCACTCATCAACCCCCTGATCCACAAATTGAGTGTTCATGAGAAATGTAATTTTATGCAGTTGGTCCTCTGATATCTAAAGGATCAGATGGGGAAGTGAGTTTTAGGGCTTAACAGGACACGTGAATTCTATCCTAGTACACAACAGCTAAATAACGAACGGAGTTGGAAGAGGTTAATGCTAAAAATGCAATTAATATAAAGCGCAATATGACCACAGCAATGTTTTTGCTTTTCTTTATTGTGCCTTACATAGTTTTCTTGCTTTTCTAAAGATGAACTTGTGCTGAGCTCCCTGTGCCACAGTTTGTGTTGATATTTGGTCATCTTTGAGAGCCAAAGTGCCTTTTGGGAAAACAGATTCCTGTGGGAGGCCAGCTCTGCCAGAACTGCAAAACTGACCACCACAGACAATGCAGGGAAACTACAACCTGAATGATCCATGACACACTGGACTCTAGACACTGCTGTTACTTTCTCCTTAACACAATAATTTAGAGACAGGGGACATCATTGTTCTGGTCACCGTACAGAGACCATCTCTCCTTACAGTCTAAAGAGAAACTAAAAACGAAGGATGGGAAGGGAAATAGGGGCACACGAAGAATTAATTGATCAGACCATCAAGCAGACCAATATACTTGGGGGGGAGGGAGGCACAGCAAAAAGATTCCCTTAGATAAGGCAGCTCCCAAAACACTGTCATAGATTTCTAGTATTTACATTTGCAGTAAGTGTTAAATGTAAGAATCCAACTACTGTTTATTAAGGAAGTGTAAAATTCATGGTAGTTTAATGAAAATAATAAACATCTCTATATTGCACTTTTCATCTATAAATCTCTAAGCAGTTTATGAATTATATATGTACCATTTCGCCATGGGTAGTAAGGAGAGACAATGACTTACACAAAGTAACATTACAGGTTTGAAAACAACAGCACTACATTTTGATTCTAGTAGCAAAATACTTCATAATTAATATTTTTTGATTTTATTTTCTCTACTGAGTCAAAGGAAAAAAAAAAAGCAGAATTACTTCCTTCAAATCTACCTGTCCTTTCCTTTTTAGTCCTCCTCTTTGGAATTGTCTGAGAACATTTCCATTTCTGGGCTTTAGAGACAGTGAACAGGAGATTTTTAGCATTTTTAGAGATGCCTGGCAGATTTTCTGAACACTGACTGATCAATGCTTTGTCCACCTACATCAATTTAAGTGTGTAAGGCTTTTTATTTTTAAAAGGAACAATTAATGAGCGTATCAGCCTTCTGACCATCTCCTGATTACTCACCATACTCTTCTTATCTGCTTTTTGAATAGTGTACCCAGTAATGGCAGCATTGCCATCATCTTTTGGTGGCTTCCATGATAAATTTACATTCTCTCCCCAGACGTCCTCAATAGTTACAATCTCTGGTGGGCCTGGGCGATCTGTAATGAAAATGTGGCAGCTGACATTTTTCACTATTTGCTTTCTTTATCTCTCTCTTTCCTACACGTCTTCCACTTAGTTTGATTTCTCTCTCTTTCTTACAACAGGCACATGCCAAAACTAAAGTCAAAAGAAAGCTGAGGCTGCAAAATAAAATGTTCCAAAGTTAAGACATGTCAGAATTATGAAAAAAATAACTTGACCACTTTGGGAATCTTGTTTCTGACATGATATTTTGGAAAAGTTAAAAGCAGTTGAAGATGTGTTCCTAAAAGACAAAGTGGGATAATCATTAAAAAGGCTGTGCCACCAGTTTTGCCTGTTATGTAAATAAATAGATTGGTAAAAATAAAAAGTAAATGTGTTTTCTAGTCTGTATTTCCTGCTTTCAGGTACTTTCAATATTTAGGATTCCTTCCACATTACACTTGTGACAACGTTACTGTGAATTTACTACCATTTCTGGCTCTGGATACCACTCAAGGTGAAGAAGTTTGCATCCTGGATAGACAAGAACATGAAAAGCATAACAGTGAAGAAAAGAGATTGACATGTTCCAACAAGCATCTGCCATTGTGTAGGGAGGTTTCCTGAGAAACCAGAAATCTTTAACCAAGTAATTGGATGTGGGGAGTTATTTATTACTTTTGAAAAAAACATGCTCTTTGGGATTCCTCTGTTTTCCTACAGCTTTGGAATGGCTGGAGCCTGCTTCTCTGGCATGCATTTATTTCTGTTTCTCAAAACATACCAACAATCTGAATATCTATTGTAGCTTTGTCCTCCAAGTTTTCTACTTCCACTTTCATGTTATATTCTCCAGAGTGGTTCCTTTCTGCCTTTCGGATGAAGATGATAGTGTCATTTTCAGTGTTGCGGATGTTGATTTGGTTCTTGTCGATTGGAGAACCATTTTTCTGCCATGATACTTTTGCCCTTGGTTTTCCCTGTAAGTAGCCAGGAAACAATTCATATATGATTTTGGGAGAGGAAAGGCTGGGAGACAAAATGTGTTTATTTCCAATTTTTCCCAAACGGGAAATAAAAACTGTCCTGGAAGAAACAGAATTATTTTTTAAACCATGCAAACTATGCAATCATATTAATTCACCTAAAATGCAGCTTGCTTTTTTTTTTTTTTTTTTAAGAGACTGAGAATATTTGCAAATTCTGGCTAAATTGGACAATTAACTTTCTGGCTAAATTTACCAATTAATTTCCAGTTTTCTAAAAGAAAAAGGAGAAAAAACCAGAAAATGCAGAACAAAACATTTCAGCCTCTGGAAATGCCTAAATTCTCTACACTGCCAGTGAAAGAGGAAAGTAGTGGACTAAACCTCTGGGGATCCCAAACTCTCTTCTTTCATTGCAAAAGCATCTGGAATAGTTGTTAGGTAGGCTGGATTGACATCTTTTGTGCGTCATTTTTGTGGGTCTAGTACAGCCCAATTTAGGTACTTAAATCAGAGTGAATTCCACCTGCTTTACCATGGGATTTGCCTTACAGAGGCAAACAATTTGCAGATGCTGTCTGAAAAGGGTAATCTCACACCTTTTTGAATGCCCTATTTTAGAGAATAACCATAGAATATTCCTTTAATTTCTCAAGAGCAGTGTATCTTGCAGAGTACTGCTCGTCAAGCTTTATTAGGCTTTTAAACAGCCTTGTAGAAGCCAGATTATGCCCATCCAGTATCTTAAGGTGTGCAGACAAAAGAATTCTGCTGAAATTCTTGTACTCGGAAGAATAAGGACCCTGCAGGTAGAGAGGCATCACTGTTGTAAAAGGTATGGGAATGAACGTCAGCACGATGCTGTGGGAAAATGTGCTACATCTTTAGAAATAGTCATATTATAGCTATGACCTCAAGGATTTAAAAGTTGCTGTTTCTATAGGAAACAGTGAAACCCCTCCCTTTTCCCTCTCATGACAAGAAAATTATTAAATACTACATTCCCACCCTTGATACCATATCTAACTACTGACAGTGTAACTGTTTTGCATTGTGCTAGTGATTATCTCGCATATAATGTCTACCGTGAGGATTTATAAGTGTCCTTTGGATGAGAGATGACAAATCAGTCTGTCTAAGCTAGTTACCCGATGCATTTATTGGCTTAACATCATTTCTGTGAGACATCAAAGCAAAAGCTTTCAAGCACCTATGTTCTTCAGTGTGCTTCCACATCTGCTTAAGTTAACTCCCTGGCCTACCAAAGTTACATAAAAACAAGTTAAAAAGCAACAGTATAAGAAAAATGGAGTATTTTCCTGTCAGTGTTTTTAGTTCTTACCTGGAAAGGAATAACAAGATTCACAGTTTCTCCAACTCTTCGAGTATAGGTTTGTTTTAAGTGTCTTGGTAGCCGAATCTTTGGAGGTTCTGAAAAAAGCCAAAAGATTGTGTTTGACCTTTGTCTTCTCTAACTGAGGCAGCACTGATGGGCATCAGTATAAACAGGAGACTGTGTGGTCTACAATTCCCAGAAGTGCCTTATGAGTGAGGTGTCTTAACTTTCTTGGTCCCACAATGTTACACTCAGTAAACATTTGGTTTTTGTAACACCAAATGCTATGGCGGTAGGAATAGGCAAGAAACTTAGTGCAACTTTAAAAAAGCAACATCACGTTCAAGTTCTGCAGGGGAAAAAAAAAAAAAAAAAAAAAAAGGCCTTGAAAGCCTGAGCAATAAAGGCTTAGAAATGAAACAAAAATAATTACAAATTTTTTTAAAGACTGTTTCATGATTTCTGGTCACTGCCTAATGGCTCGTAAGGCCATATTGTCAGTTTCCAACAACAAGTATTAGCCTTAAAAAACCAGAGCTAAGTATGGAATCAGAGTGTATTTGTGGATGAGCGTAGGCAGGAGGATCTTACCTATCACTTCCTTGACTAAAATAGGCTGTGGGTGGTACCTGGGCTCACTTTCACCAGCAGCATTCACAGCTTTTACTCTCACAAGGATTTTTGAGCCAGTTGGCAGGCCATTGATGGTAAACTTCGTTTTGTCTGTCAGCTCTGGGTTAGCCACGATCCATTCATCAGCTATTTTAGTGAAAAGAGGAGAGGAGGACGAATCGAAAGGACAGGGAATTATAAATATGTCCACTGCACGGATGAGAAAAATTGCAGAACAGTAATAGATTCATCCAATTCTAATGAATACCTCTATTTAGTTTTTCTAATTATGCTATAACATGATATTGATTCACTTTCATATGTAGGAGGAATTTTTCAAACCTTAAAGGGTTTCTGTTATATATTCATATTTGCAGAAATAAATGTTTTTAGAATGTGTCTATCATTTAGTTGTACCAGAGAGAAAATGGATTAGTTTTTAAATTCAGCTGATCAAAAACAAGGGGGACATAGAGTATATTTCCAAAAGCACTCATCTTTGCTTTAACAGCTTCCTTGGAGAGAAATGGGGTTTACAATTAAATTCAACCAGTACTGAGTATCCTTGAAAGTACTCTGAGAGCACAGGGATGAGAGAAACACAGAATATTTACAAATTGCAATGAAATGCCATCTCTCCTCATGCCTTTAAAATAGGAAGGCTGTGTCAGAATTATTCACATAATTACAGCACTCTTGGATTTTTTTATCCTAACCCTACGCAGTCGCGTGCAATCCGTAGAGTGATCATAACAGTACAGTCTTTCAGAAAAGTTTCAATTACAAATGATACTTCTTTTCCACCCTGTCCTCCAGACATAGATTGCTTTAACACTGCTGGCACCTTAACATTTGGAGTCAGGTTGAGGCACTTGTAAGTCAGTGTCAATACTTTCCACACCATATAAAGATAGCATTATAAAACTGGCAAAGAAGACAAGAAAACTGTTGTAAACTAATGAGCCCTGCAGACTTGGAGCGCAACACTGTGGTACATTTTCATAACTGTGTGGCTTACTTTTAGGAATTAAGTTATTTCAGCTTCTATCAGAAGAGGATTGCAATCAATGACTGTTTCCCGAGTACCTCCCCCCCCCCCCCCCTTTTAACCACCCACCCCACATCTTTTTCCTGTTTCCCGAGTCCCCCCCCCCCCCCCCCTTTTACATGCACTACAGCAAATTCTGTTGCCCCTAAAATTCACTCTCAGAAGTTTACCTCAGATAAACTCAGAGAGTTTTTCTTTTGTTAAAGTAGATTTATATCCTTTGTTGAATACTGTACCTTCCAGGTTAAAAGGTGGCTCCACCAATTCCTCAGACAGATCTGTCGATATACCTTGTGAGAATCCATCGTTAAAATTAATCAGAGACCCACTTTCACACAGATGGAGCATTTTGTCAGTGGTTAGCAATTCCTGTTAGTAAGTATGCAAAGATAGATGCTGGGCTTTAAAGATTTAGAGGACTCGCATTTAGGGAGACTGCAGGGAGGAAAGAGATGCAAAGAGTGGATCTAGATCAAAGAACACTTATGCATGATGCTCACAGGAAATGTAAAAGATAGAGGAAGAGGAGGAGATAAGGCTGATTTTTTTTCCTTTGGGCCTAATCACAGCCCTGGAAAGATGAAAAGAAAGAGACAAAAGGAACATTTGGAAGAGAGAAATGAAACAAAATGATTATGGGAGAAGGTGTAGGACGAGAAGAAAACACGTCATAGAAGAGACAAGAAATTCAGAGAAGAATTCTGAGTAAGAGACAGAAAAAGAGAAGTCTTGGAAAAAAACTTGGGGAAACAGAGGAAGAGAACACATTAGGTAAAGGCAACACAGAAACAAAGAAGGCCAAAACCATGGATGATGACAGATGTGATGTAATCACTGAGGCTTTATTTCCTGGACAAAGCTGTCAGTGGCCTGGATTTCCTGGAATCCTGGACTTGGCTATTTTCAGGATAATAAAAATACTATTCTAGTATCTGTACATGGTCCTGGATGGGTACACTGGTAAAGATCTCAGCTAACAGAGGGTCTCTCAAGTGCTTCTTTACTAGCTGTGAAAACAGATCATCTGCAGGTACAATGGCCCTTGAAAGGCAGATCAACAGAGTGTCCTAGGCCAAGCTAGGGCCAAGCTCATCAGACTACCCTTGAGATGTCACACAAGAACCAGTCGGCAGCATACATTACTAGGAACTGACTTCTGCAGTGTCAACAAGATTTGGTCTACTCCACATCACCACAGCAAGAGGTTCAAGTTGGATGTTGTAAACTAGCCCTGGGGAGTTCTATATTCATATTATTCACACCTGTGCAATGCCAGATCCAGCTACTCATGATGAGACTCTAGTTCAGTAACATACACAGAGAGCTGTCAAAGGTGCCACCATAGTTAAGGAAATCCAAGAGTCCACCGTGTTGATCAAGTTATGAGATTCAAACTAAAGGGAAATACCAATTTTCACTAAGACAAACCAATTCTCATGGTATATAATTCTTCTAAATTATTACTATATATATGTTTTGTCTTCCTATTTTCAGCTTGTGATTTCTCCTAATGATTGCTATGATAAGGAAGACTCAAAAAAGCCCTCTTTAAAACTACTTCAGTGACAATGATGAAGGAATGGAGAAGGTAAAGACAAATGAGTTTACAAACAGATAACTAAAAGAAAAGAACAGCAGAATGAATGTAGACAGTCATAAGAAGTACCTTGAAATTAAAAAGAGTTATTAAACGTTATAGAAGAAATTAGTTTGAGGCAGAACAGGCACAGAAAGGACTGAGAAAAAGAGGCATTGCAATGTTGCAAGAAGGAAAAAAAGACTGAACACAGAGAAAAGGATGTATATTCCCATAACACACCTTTTTGGTTGGTATTTTCTACTAAGCTTGCTTCTTCCTAACCATTTTCATAACATATATACATAAATATCGTCAATTGTGTATATATAGATGTATATGCATATATAGGAGGCATATATAGATATACATAAACACTCAGAAAGTTATGTAAAATACATTGTACCCATTGTATTTTAGCTGAGGTGGGAAACAATAAAATGACAGACTTGACTGCCATTTTGTTGTATCTTCATATATTTTAAACCTATCTGAAAAAAGAAAAGTAAAGAGTTTGTTCCATTCAACAGGTATACAATGATCTTCTGTCTAATAGTCCTTAAAAGATAGATTTGGAAGATTCCTCTGAAAACCATAGTTTGGATTAGCTTATATATATTTCTCATCCTTTCTTGTCACCTGATTTGGATATCACATACTGTAATGTCAAGGGTTTTATGACAATAGCATATTACAAGCACTTTTAACTTTTTCCCCACCATCCTACCAATGCTAAACAGAGAATAATATGCAGCATACACTGAAGTCCTCACATTGACAGTCCCCTTTATATTCCCATACATTTTGCCCGTGCAATGGAAACATTATAAGAATGCTGCATCTTGATGTAAGACTGCATGCTTACTCGTTCTGAGCTGTTCCCGCAGCTCCCTCCCAATATACAAGGAAAACCCTTCCTACCATTCCAGCTGTGTCTGCCTTCAGGCAATCTTCTCCAGATCTCTGAGTTTCTTGCAGTCTGCTTCTGCTCCTTACAGATATGCACCTCAATACTACAAGATGCTGAGTGCTCCTGAGAAAAGCCAGTGGTTCTTCTTCACTCCCTCTCCCACTCGCGTGAGTGAGGGCTGAGGGCACTCTGCTCCTGTGGTATCTGACCGCTTTTGTGAACTACTGTTTTCCTGGGTTGTCTGAAGTTGAAACACGTGACAGTATGAATGACAAGCTCTGTCCTCTACCTCTTGTCTCTAGGATACGGACTGCATTCATGAAAACTCTAATTGAAATGAATGCCTTTACGAAGAAAGGTGTCCAACTCGTCACTTGATTTCCAACACAGTTAAGAGCAGCAGCCAGCGGAGATGAAGGTAACTGTCTCATTCATCCAAATACACAACATTGCCGGAGTCCCGTTGTTTGGCATTTACCCACATAGCCTGGAGACCACTCCAGGCTATTTGATACTTACCCAGGTGTTGGTGGATTTTACTTTTTGAAAATAGACTTCATTTTATGCCAATTCAGAAGAAAATATGTTAGGAAATACTATGTTTCTGCTGCTTGATCACCAAAGACTCTTAAAGTATAGATTATATTTCCCTCTTCCTTGTTATTTTACTCTCATAAGTTTATTCAGTCTCTTACATCTTTATCTCTTTCCTTCAGTTCTGTATAGATTTATCTCTTAGATGGACATAGTTAAAGACCCTGTATCTAGCTACACTGAAACATTGGAGAAATTCAGTATCCAGACATGAACTTTGCATGCCTAGATAACTTCTACAGCCAGCTATTGGAGAGACTGGCTGTCCTCAGTATTGGGGACTGGCACTTGAAGTAGCCAATTAGTAGTATGTCAAGATAGGGATTACCACACTGAGGACCTCCTGTCCCTAAAACCCAGTGAACCTGCACATATTTTGGACCACACTTATAGGCGTTCATTATTTCCTATTCATTCATCCATCCATCCACTCTTTACTGCATCAACTCTTAATTTAACTCAAAAAAGAGGATACAGATTAACCCTGTATTTGGTACACTACAACAGATTACGTGGCTTTTGATTTGGATTTTAGATCAAATGTAAGATGGGTTCAACTACAGTCAATGGGTGGGATCTGGAATACAAACCAAAGGGAGCCTGAACAAAACCTTAAGGTTTTCTGACAAAGTTCCTGCTTTGAAGTGAGAGCACCTGATACCCGTAGAGAAAAAATGGAGAAAGTCTCACCTACTTTCGTTATGAGTAAGATACCACAGTCATCACTTACTTCCTTCAAAGCAGTACTCTACAACATAGCCATCTAACCCTGCCGCTCCGATGTGGTCTGGTGGCCTCCATTTCATCGTAACTGAGGTATCAGTCACTCCATCCACTGCCAGGAGAGTTGGTGGACTGGTAACAGCTGAAGCAAGCAGGCAGCAGGGAGAATGCAGAAAACTGTGTTACAACTAAAGCTTTAAATTTATGGTGTGTATTCCTCTAACTTAGCATCACAAGTGACAGGCTAAATCCTGCCTACCAGGCATTTCCAATCATTTCGGGCACAACTTTCCCAATTAGGACGAAACTAGGAGAAGCAGGTTAACCATCATATGATTTATTCCAATATTGGGTAAATTAACTTAATTTTTTCCATAGATCTCTACCTTTATGAGAGATCATATACCTGATATTTTTCTAATGGAAATGTATGGATTATTTGTGAATACTTGTACATTTTTAAATGGCAAGCTACTATGTAACAGCAAATAATAAGTAGTGAAATTTGACTTCTGGTCACTTTTCCCAGCCATTTTTGGCCTAAAGCTGGTGCCTGACTGAACTTGTAGCAAGAAAATGAGACACAAACAACCAAGACCAATATCCATCATCTTTATCAATTCTCTAAATTGCCAGTTTGACTGTAAATAGTTTGACTCTGTTGAGGTACCTATGACACACAAAAACCTGGAACTATTAGTTCTGGTCCTTAAAACATATTGACTATATCAGGGTCACCTATAGCGTGTCACTGTTTAATCGTAGTGCACCATTTTTCTGTCTATACATCCTTGTTTATAAAAGATAATAAATCCTTCAGGGATAGACATGTAGTTTATGCAACACCTAATAAACAGGTCCTGAGCAACACAAGTGCAACACAATCTACAGTTACACAACTAGATGACTGTAATAATGTATTAATGATAATTTTCTAAATGCATACCTATCTCTATGCTCTTGATTACTTACCTAAAGGAACAAAGGACTTCGAAGGCATACTTGGTTTGGAAATGCCTATTGCATTAACAGCAAATACACGGACCTCGTAAGCAACACCTTCAATCATCTTCTTTGGCTCAAAAGTTGTTTCTTTACACAGTTCAAAATTCAACCTCATCCACCTGGAGCTTTGTTTCTTTTTCCTTTCAATGAAATATCCTATTGACCAGAAAAAGTTTTATGATGGTAAACGGTGGCATAAAGGTCAATAGTGAGTAGTCTACTTTTTTACTACCCAAAGGCATTTTTCTTGGACACACTTCAATATCCCCTTCTAGCCTAAGAGTGGTTTAGGGGTTATTGTTAAATTTTTCACATTGCAAGCTATTTGAGAGTCACTGGTTTGGCTTTCATGGCCATGCACGATCTGTTTTCAGACTTCACTTACAACACTGCTGCACTTAGTTCAGACTGAAAAGAGCCTGATTCTGCTGGCCTCTGGGCCCCTCTGACTTTCCTCTTGGTTTAATGTATTAGAAGATATTCCAGTTTACTCAATAAATTGTTCCTGAAATTCCTGCTAACATTTAAGCAGGCTAACTGTTCAAAGTTTAGTACCATAAAAGGGTTTCTTTCAAGTATGGGGATTGATAATGAGGCAAAATACAAAATGACAAATCTCAAAACATTAGAAAAAGAAGTATCCAATAAAGTCTAAGATTGGGTAGAACAGTCTTAAAACTGGATACTCAAAGTGTAGGTCTCTAGGGCCTCAGCTAAACTCTGATTCTATGGTATCCGTTATTTGGGGTTTGTTTATTTTGTCTATATTAGAGAATAACCACAAAAAGAAAAAAAAACAAAGAAAAGCATGTACCTAAGATGGGTGATCCACCATCATTTGCTGGAGGTTCCCAGGTCATAACACACCAGTCTTCGCCCACCTCAGTTACATTTGGTGCCTGAGGAGGATCAGGGACATCTGTTGTAAACAAAATAAATATTATTAAAAAAAAAATCTTTCTCCTTTTTGCATAGGTTGAAATAAAGCATGTAAAATAAGAAACAAAACTGAATAGTTTTTGAAGTGCAACAGGAGTTACTAATGAGGAGAGAGAGAGAGAAAGAAGATCTTTATGGATCCTGGCAGGTGGTTAAGAAGAGATGAATACCAAGCTCTTCAGCACAGTTAAGACACTTGAGAGACACTTGAGGGCACATGGTAAGAAAGAGCCCACAGCCACATGGAGAATGGAGAACAGAGAATGTTAAGGGCAGACTGAGGCAACTGCACAAGTTTGGCCCCTGCAGTGTGAGGTGGCAGCATGGTGATAATTAACTCCTACTTAAATCCCATGCTAAGCTCCTGTGTCCTTCAATAACAACTGGGCTTTAGTATCCTTACACTTCAATTCCACATTTGAAAATGGGGACAAACAGGAAAATGGAAGTTTTCTGAAAATCTACAGCTGTTTGGTAACTGAGGAGGAAAGCATCTACAGAAGAGACCCTTCAGATAGAGGAAGAAGAATTTGTCTCTTGTTGAGGTGCAGAAGAATAGGGTTCTTCAAGGAGCATTTACTATGAGGGGCTGTGATAAAAGACATGGTTCATATGCACTGTTCCACATGACTTACCAACCACTTTAATGTTGATTAAAGCTGTGTCTTCTCCAGCCTCGTTCTTTAACGTTATTCTGAAAGGACCTGAATCTTCCCTCTCAGCTGTATCAATGACCAGACAGCTGCTGTCTGGGTATGTTTCTGCCCGTATTCTTCCACTGTCTGTGATCCACTAGCAAACAAAGTAATCAGAGGGGAAAAAAAAATCATATTTTCTGCATTTGAGAATCAAAATGCTCAAAAAGCAAAATCCAAATGCAGTACAGGCCACTTTAGCAAAAATACTAAAGCACCTGTAAGAAAAAACACACTAAAGCTCAGAATTTCAGTCACCTAATGATCACACAAATGACAAAATAACCGAGGGACAAATAAATAACTTGAAAATATGGTAACTGTTTAGTACTCAGTTCAGCCATTGCATCTCAAAGGAAGACACAGTAAGCTTACTTGTCCTGTCAGCAAGAACATGCTTTTGTCAATACTACCTGTTATTAATTTGATGGAAAGAGAGTAGTGGATTCTCTCAAAAGTCAGACTGAAATGTAATTCATTCAGTTTAAAGGTCAGAGTGATTGTAATCCTCAGTAGTTTGTCCTCATAGATTTCAAATACTGCCACATATTTTGGAGTAAGAGCTCTCCTAGAATAATTCCCTATTTGGACAAGTCTACAGTGGTGATACTACAATTAATATTTAAAAAATAGTAGTCAGAGATTTCACCAGATAGGTCTGAAGAATCCAGTAATAATAACATGTTCCAGCTTCCACATACCACAATGAAAATTTAAATGTGAAAAGTGGCTTTTTAGTATCACACAGCCAGGGACTGATCTGTGCAAAGTTTTGCATTAAGACACCAGGTGCAAGACACCAATTGCCCAACCTGTTGTTTCACTGGACACTTGACACTCCATCAGAATTCATCATTCATTTTCCAAAATCAGACCATACCGTGGCTTCCTGTCAAAACCTGGCAGCCATTCTGGGCAGCATGGACAGAAGTAGCAGTCATTTGGTAGGCTTTCAGTAGTTTACTTCTGAATCTCATATGTCCCTCTCCTTTACAATTTATTTATTGCAAACCCATATTTTTTCTTTTGTTAATCACAGCCTTTCCTCAAAAAGACCCAAAAGATAGTAAACAATATTTATCCATTTTACCCTTCATTTTTTGAGGACAGTTTTTTAGATAAAATGCATCTCCTCATTTTCTGCCATTAAAATCAATGTCTTCACAAAGCTAAAGGTTACTTTTTGAAGGAAAAGGCACCTTCTTAACCTAGAGAAATGTGTATAATGACAATGTACCTTGTCCCCTTTACTCCACATGACTTTTGGAGTTGGCTCGCCAGTGATGGGGATCTCAAGTCGTAGTTTGCTTCCTGCCACTACTGTCACAGTGTTACCTTCCCCAAGACCATCCAGGTGGAGTTTAGGAGGATCTGAAAAAGGAGAGAGTGTCCAAATTTGCTATGTGGCTGCCACTCTGAGAGATCAGTGACCTGGCACAGGTCTGCAACACAGAGAAACATGCTCTGTGTTTTCTATTTTCCTGGTATCTTTAGTCAACTGATTTTTTGCTTGGAAGAAAGTTCATGAAGAAAAATTCTTTTTAAGAAAATAGTTGCCTGATGAAAAATAAATTGTGGCACCATAGAAATTTTGGAATACTAGGACCATAAAAAAAAAAAAAAAATCTGTCTTCCTGGGGCAGAATTATGTATATTCAAGTAAATTCTGTGAGAGATTTCCTGTAAGTGGCACTTTTATTGTACTCCATGTGTATGGAGAACAACTGATGAATAGCCTCTTAAAACTTTTTTTTTAATCTGTTGGAAGTTATATCGGTGGGCATGCCCCTCTAGTACCCCTTCCTTCTTCATTCTCCCTAAACCTTACCAATACTTTTTCTAACACAAATATCCCACTTTTTTTTAGCTTCAACTACAGAACACATTTTCTAAAATTTCGGTCATTTATATTGCTCTCCTTTGTCTTACAAATTGCTGGTTGCAGTTAAAAGCCACTGAGGTATTGTTTTGGGAAGAGTTAATGCCTTGTTTTATTTTTGTTTGAAAGACTGGTATCGGTAACAAACCCCCGTTTTGCTGACTGAATAAAAGCTGGCCAGAAGCATTTTTCTCTCTAGGTATCATTTAACATACTTGGGAAACAGGTAAATGTGTACCTATTCTCCTAATCTTTTACAAAACTAAATCACATTTTGCAATGTCAGCAAGCCAGGTCTTTAAAGAAGACAAATCTGTATATCTGAAAAGAGGATAGCAATACAAGTTTTACACAAATTCTTAACAGTGGTTTAGGTTTAGGAATTCAACATCAAGAAGCCTTCCCTGGGAGCTCCCCCAGATTTGTAAAATACGAGCAGATCTTGAGAACAGGCAAAGCACTCTCTGACTAGCTCACTTGTACTTTGCCAAAGCAGCAGATCTGTTTTCTCTGGTAGGTGCCTGCTCAGAGGAAACAAACTGATTGTAATCAAGTATATTTCATGCTGCTTTTAATTTTCAAAGGTCAGAGAAAGAGATGTTATATATGAATCAGTGCCTTATACTTACCCACAACATGTACTTTGCATGGAATATTAATATTATAGGCATCTGGTACAAACATATATTCACCCTCATCATCAACAGCAGCGCTTGCTATAACAAATCTGTGGATTCTGTAAAAAAATTAAAAATAAATCAATGTAAGTTATTTTTGAAGACTGCTTGAAGGTATAAGGAAAATCTGTGAAAAGTTTAGGAGATCTGTGCAAGTGTGTAAAACTACTGAATAAAAATCCTTTGCTGGCTGCTTAGTGGTGTAGCTGATTAAATACTGTGTGACTCGTACAAAATATTATTGAGAATATCACCAAATAATGTAATGAATTCTAATATTTTTTGTTTGAAGACAGAAGTAGAAAAATACAGGAAGGTAATCTCTTTGACACAGGATTCTGTGCTCCTGCCATTAGATTGTATTTTGGTTGTTCAAGAAGAAATCTTCAGGTGATCCCATTGTGAGAATATTCAGACTTTTGTTAGACCATCTTTGTGACAAGATCCAATTTGCAATTTGTTTGCCAGAATAAAAAAATGGGCGTTCAAAATGTATGCTGCTCTTACTGCTTAACTGCATCTTCCAGTATGATAATATTTTTGCTCTCCTGTGATCTGCTGTGGCTAAGCTTTGTTCAAGGTAGGACTCACCTCTGTGCCCTTCCTGCTCCCCTTTCCCTCACCTCACCCTATGGGCCTGCATGGGTTATGGGGCGCTCCTTCACCTTATGTCAATCCAAGTGGTCATTGCACAGCTGGCACTTGTCCCTTACTGCTACTTAGTGAGAGTTATGGAGTCAATGCAAAGATTCCATAGCCTGTTCAGGAGCATCTTCACAAGTGCAGTTCCCAACTGTATGAATGGTCTGCTAAGCTGAAGTGAAGAGGATGTAGTTAAAGGTAGGACCTGTTTTTTGGGGGTTTTTTTGGTTTTTTGTTTTGTTTTGGTTTTTTGTTGTTTTTTTTTTTTTTTCAAACTGACAAGCTTTCCGTGAGAAAGGATGGATATATATAAAAGTATATATTATTATATACTTGGCATGGACAGAGATACATGGTCTGAGCTGACACAAACAGAAGCTATCAGAAAAACAGACATTTAAAAGATATATATTTTTAATAATGTCTAACAATTATTTTACTTTACTGCTTAATATCCTGTATTAACAGCAACAGCAATTCCAAGAAAAATTAATAGCTTGAACTTAGGTGGATCAAGGATATAATTATTTTCTTCTACAGCAAAAAGACACAAGATGAAAGGGGGCAAGGAGACGTGGCTTTTATGATGATAAAAATAAATATGTTTGAGGGACAGAGATTAGGCTTGGTTACCAGATAATTTTCCATTTAGTAACCCACATATTGACACATCTCTACAGTGTCATTCCATCAAAAGTCAATACACAACAGGCTTACCTTCCTTTGTGATAAAGCTTTACACGATCACTAGCTTCAACCAGTTGCCCATTTTTGTACCATTTCCCTTGCACGTTCTCAGATATCTCACACTTCAGGTGGATCTCCTGTCCAAGCCTCACAGTCTGGTCTTCTAGTGCAAGTGATATCTTCAGTGGTCTCACTTAGGAAAACAGGAGAGATATTAATGCTAATATCAAACAATAGCTCATGATTCTGCAATGGAGCTGCTCCTAGCCATCACAATAGTCTTCAAATCAGAAAAAAATGCTTCTGATAATAAAGTTATCAAGTTGAAATACCAGTAATATGTACACGTAAGCTACATAAATGAACCTTTTTTCATGTAGGCTGATGCCTTAGAAAGGGTGATCCAAAATGCCCATGCCCTGACTGGGGAAACTCCATGGATACTGCCAGTACAAGAACTAAGCCCAGGAGCATAATTTGAGTGCTGTCGCCTCTCTGGTGTTTAGGTGCTGGAGGTAGGGTGTTTCCATTCCCCAGAGTCCAGTAAGAAACTTTTAAGAAGTGAAAGATGGGCATCCCCAGACCTATGCACTAGGAGGAATTACAGCCCACCTTTCCTGTGATGTAACAGCGATACAACTGTTCTCATAGCTCTCCCAGCTGATCCGAGGTAATTTGGAGACTTACCAAAATATTTCATCACAGCTGAGGACTGTAGTTATCAACCTGTTTTCTCAGGCTGGTAGCAAGGGCTGACTGGCCAGAAACTTAACTTCATACACTACTTCTTCTTGTGTTTGATAAACTGTCTTAACCTACCCTACGAATACCCACAGATATTACTAGCTTTTGTAAAACTTGAGTCTGGGAACTGGTGTCCCAGTTCACTTCCACTTTCTGGAAGATTAGGTGCTGTAGACCAGAGTCCAGGCTGAAGACACAGTACGTTCTGTATGCAGTAAATATACTTGGCTATAATCTGACATAGGAAAGACAGAGTGAGTGGAAAGGCAGTGTTTTACAGAAAGTCAGTTGGAAAAGAAGCACTTGCATGACAGGAAAGATGGTGGAGCTCAATAGCCATGGAGGAAAATTTCCAACCTCATCATAGAACAGCATGAATTGGTGGTGTGCTCAAGATGCCAATTTGTACAAAATAGTCAAAAGCAGGATATTACAGAACAGTGTATGTTTATGCATAAGGTATGCTAACTTTAGAGGATGGGCACATGCATTTTACTAAAACCCACAGGCATTTTAAAGAGATATTGCACAAACAATACTGAGGGAGCTACATAGTCGTGTTTCTGCCTATGAGTTCAGGTCAAGTGACCCTGATGCCTGTTAACAGAACTGCTTTTATTTTTCAACATACTTTTCTTCTAATTTTGGCTAAAAAGCCTTGGTTTGGCTTTTCTATGAAAACCTGAAAGGATTAAAGAAAAAGGAGATACTTTCCTTGAAAATTTCACTTTGTTGACCTGTTGTGTTTTGGACAGATAGCTTTGTTTTCCCTCTTAATGGAGCGACAGAAAATTTTCAAGCAGGACTGGTTCGTTGCCTGTTACTGCAAACAGCATCTAAAGGAAAGTCACTGTCCTGGAGATTTGCAGCAAAGGAATTGGCATGGAAGTTAAATCTCCCTTTAAACTCCCAGGAAAAGGCAATCAAATTATTTATTTCTGTAAGCTAGTAAACTGTGATGTATTCAAGAGCAAGATGCATGATACTTACAGTCAACTGAAAGCTTGGCTTCGGATTGGCCTCCAGTTGTCATTACTGAGTAAGTTGCATTGTCATTTTTTGCAGCTTCTTCTATGATCAAAGTGTGTTTTTTACCCTCAACCTTGATTCGATACCGAGATTTAGGATCATTGGTAAGTTCTACACCATTCTTAAACCTAATGGAAAACAAAGAATTATTATTTTCCCAATAGAAGTCCTGTACAAATAGGAGTCCCATAGACTGAAACTTCTAGAGAAGAGATTATAATATTTAAGGCACAAACTCATCCATGGATGTGTAAGGATATTTTTGCTGTGCTACATTTTCAATAATATTTTCTTGAGATTTTCTTCAAAATTTTCAGGTTTACTGGTATAGAAAAAGCTGTCCACATTTTTGCCTACAACTAAAATATTCTGGGTTTTATTCTCAAGTAAAACAGTATCTGTTCAAAGTGTGGCTTACCATTTCACATTTGCATCATCCTCAGACACTTCACAGCTCAGTTCTACTCGTTCACCAACATAGGTACTGGTATCCTCCAGGCCTTTGGTCACTAGAATTGGTGGATCTTTGGAAAGAGAAAATTACAGATTTAAAATCTGAGAGAGAAAACTAAGTGAAAGAGGTTTTCAAAATGATGATGCAGCTTTAAAATTCTAATGTTAGTCTCACTGCAGCTTTTTCTGCCTTAAATCAGAAAAGTGATTGCTCATTAAGATGCTAGTAGGAAATGTGCTATATAAAAAATAACATTTGTTCAGACTAATACTGGCCTTGCATCCCATTTTATTGACAGGCCGGATGACATGAGAAGCTAGCATTCCACTCTTGCCTCTCACAGGTCTGTCTCATAAAGCTGTGTTTTCATTTGGTCCTACAGCCCATTATGCACAGTAAGATGACCTGATGACATAATAGGGTGCCCGTAATGGTTTAACCCGTTCCTGCTGTCAAAACTCAAGATTATTTAATAGCAAGAGATTGTACAACAGTTATCCTATTATATTTATAGCAGCAATGGGCTCCATTATTTTAAATAGCTTTCTGAAATATTTGATAATTTTTTTTCTCTCACTCTGAGTTTTGATTTTCTGTTTGTTTTCTTGCTGGGAGCAAAAAGGGTGAAAAAATGGCTACCCATTCATAGCTTTTAATAGAGTCTTCCCTTATATCTGTGCAGATGGAATGAAAACTAACTTCTAGAAAGCCTGATGTGAGGGTACTTGAAACAGATCAGTTGGATCAAGAGTATCAGGGTCATCAGGTACCTAAGTGTCGTGTTAGGGAAAGCCAATGTTATGAAAAGTGAGTCTCCAAAATGGCTTTAAAACTATGAAGGGGACCACAGCCTCACTGGATCCCAATGCACAGTATGAAATCAATCATATCCCCATTTTAGGGTTTACACTAAATTACTGAATACAGGATGAAGTAAAAAATGGTCAGGGGTCACAGAAATACAGAATGATCCTAAGGGCTGCTAAAATACAAAAAATATACTGAACCAGATCCTCCCTGTTAATTTCTGTTGCATCCAAAGAAGCCACAGCAATTTACAGCAGGTGAAATAGGAACAAGCTGACGTAGTTACCTCTCACAAACAGTTCTGTGGAGCATTTCTCATCACCAGCTGTTACATAATAGCGAGCATCATCTGTCATCGTACAATTATTGATGAATAAAATGCGCTGGTTACCTTTGTGCTCAAAAATGTATCTGTTTGAACAGAAATGCAACAAAGTTACCTTAGCAAAACTGTTGGACCTCTTTTGTTTTATGTAGAAAGTGCTTTAGGGATTATTAGAGGTGAAAAACCTGGTTTTTACATTGAACTCGAAAAATTCTCCTGGGAAGCAGTTTCCAAGATTCAACAGAACTGTCATAGACTTTTTATCAGAAAGAGCTATGGTGTAGAGTGACAACTAGCATCTTCTGGCTTGTTCCAAAATCCCAGGCTTGGGTGATATGAAAAAAAAAATGAGCAGGCTCTGAAGGATGGCAAATAAAATAGAGTCTGAAACTCTAGATGAGTAAAGATGAAAATAACTAGTAACAGGACACCATCCTCATTCCAACACTCTTAACATTTTTGTGAAGTATAATAATAGCCGAAGTTAAGAAGTTAATATTATTGGTAGGCCAGATGGCACAAGAGATCAGTAATGGGATATGGGGTTTTGGTAATGGGATATGAAACCTTTCACCTTTATGTCACCAGTTTAGATCTGCTCCAGGTTCGTAATGACCAAAGCTCATTAGCATCTGACAGCTGCTTCAGCAGCCTGGAAGAAATGCACTGGAGCATTCAATCCAGGTCCTTATACTGGAGAGGTATCCATATAGCTGCCTGAGAAACAGTTCTGAACTGCTCATGGCAGATATACGGGTGTCCTGGTTTTGCTAAAGGCGCTAAAAAAAAAGTACCCTCTTTGTTATGCATTTTTTCAACTGCGAATATTAATCAAAATCCTTCATTGACTTTTGCAGCAACAGAAAGATGGAAATTTGCCCCTTCTCTGTAAAAGAGCTTTTGCTAATTACTATCTTTTCACAGGGCCATAAGAGAAAGTTGTTAGGATTTTGGGCTGCTGAGAAACATTTGAGGAACATTACATTGAGCATTACTGTTTGCATATCATTTTTCCTAGCAGTGTCTGATTGTGGAATGGGATTTTCTGCATCGGGTTCTAAGAGCTGGTTGTGCCTGCACTAGGGACCGGGCTCAGCTTCCAGCCGTGGCTCTACCTGTACTCAAGTGTCTGCACCTGAAAAGCCACTTCTTCCACATAAAGCCAGAGACTAAACCAATATGCAGATGATACAGATGATGAAGAAGCTTGGGTACACTTGACCTGTTCCACATGACTGAAGCCGCTTTGAGCTAATGCAGGTTGTTGACTTCAGTGGGAATGTTAACTGGGTAGTGGAAGGTGAGGCAAACCTTGGTCCCCTTTCCTCAGGGGTTTATGGGTCAGGTGGGTAAGTATGTGATGTTAAACATCTCTCCTCTTAGCACCCAATTACCGTAGAAAGATTCTGACCTCCTTCAGACATAGGACTGAGGACAAGTGATTTATTTACTCACAGTGCTTCCTGATTTTTTAAAAACTACCAAGTAGGAAATGGCTTCATGTTTTTTTGAGGATCTTTAATTATTTTCTCTTGAGGCAAAGGAGCCAATCTGCATTAATATTTAGCATACACTGGACTTTTCTGGGTCATGAGCAATATAGCATCATTTGCATAATCTTCACATGTAATGAAATTCAGAAATAATATTGGTGCAACCTGAGCAGAGAGATAGATCTATGCAACACACTTGTCAAGGCACTACATGTGTGCCCATTTTATTGCTTACATAGAATAAAACCACTTACTTTGCACTTGGTCGTATTTCTTGGCCATTTTTATACCACTTGAGTTCCACTGTTGGATCTGCTAGCTCCACCATGAACCTTACTTTACCTCCTTTGTCCACCTGATATGCAGGATCAAGACCTTTGGCAAAAGCTGTTGTGGAAGCCAAGTGTTATTGTAAGAGAAGATCAGAAAACAAGTAAGAATATGAATGCTGAAATTACATTGCATAGATCTCATCAAAGCTGTCAGAATACATTCACACAATGTTATGTATCACTCTATATTCTTAGGCTAGTCCACATGAATCAGTTTATCTTCTAGAAACATTAGAATAAGTGCAAAACTATGCAAATGTGATTATCCTGACAGAGTTCAAGCTAGAATCTCTTCATGGCTTTGCAGTGTGACTGTATTCTGAACAGGATTGGGTAGACATAGCTTTGACAGCTTGCTGAGAAGTGCTATGTCAGAATAAAATGGCATACAGCCGGTGCCAATGGAAAAATTTACAATGAATCTGTTACAAAGGACTTCTCTATTGTCACTGCCACTCAGTGGGGAATTTTAAGCTAAAATTCCTATCGAGCTTCCCACTATTAGAATAATTAGGTCTTGGAATTAATTCCTTGCAGTAATAAGGCTAGAGTTGTAGTGTGCAAGTCCCCTTACCTGGAAATGAAGCAAGTTTGGGTTTTTAAGGTGGACACTTATGTTCGACTACTGAACATAAGAGTGTTCTGCCTTATCCATACCTGCACTCTTCTTCACTTCCCTGCGCATGCGCTTCAGACGCTTTAACATGCCTCTCAGGTCAGTGATACCATACTGAAAAGCAATCTTCTCATATTCACTGGGATTTGCATTCTTCAGGAGCTCCCACACATCTACCTCGGGTTCTTCCTCTTGCTGTTTAACCTCCCTGACAGCAGCAAAATAAAATTATGGGAGAAGAGTTAGTGAGGCTTTATCATACCATAAAAATAGGTGAAGCTGAATCTATGGTGAGGTTAGAAATGTTTTGATCAAAATTTGAAGGCTGCCATCATATTTTTTAATTTCACTCATTATTGGTTGGATTAGCTCAGAATTATATTCACACCTTATTTTATGTTCCTTCAAGGCAGAATTTGGATGTAAGTTTTGATTTGGCCTTTTCGGATGTAATCGATTATGACAGGTTTTATATTGCTTCATTATTTAAAAAAATGCAGTTTGAAAATGTAGTATTGTAATAGTGTGTGGGCTAATCCCACCTAAATCAGTTTTATCTGCTGTAACTTGAGCAGAATTGGTTACAATCTATGATGGCACCACTGAGGTCTGAGTCTAATCATCCATTTCATAATTATATAAAAATGTTTCAAACTCTGAGTCCCTGTAACTGCTACTAGGGGTGACCTATGAAAGGACTTTGACATCCAATGGAATATGGGTCTGTTTATAGTTACACAAGTGCTTCTCAGAGTTACTTAAAGTTGGCATATGGATAGGAACTGGAGATTTCCACACCCGCTTGGACTTGCAACATGGATCTGTTGTCTTCCATGTTTATCTCAGTCCTAAGAGCAGGAAGTGTTTTCAGAGGCCTGTGTGAATAGCATGACCTTTATACAGACGTTTCAATACCATATTTACTATCTGTAACTCAAGGCTAAGACAACCAATGAAGAGAAAGCAATGGCAGCCACTAAATGAGAGAACAATGGAAGCATCCTAAACAAAGTTATAATTTTTGAAATTGACAGCTTATCTCAAAAAAGTGAACTGCTAGAACAATCCGAGAATTGGAGCAGAAATCTAGACATTTTTTCCTGTAAATTCATTAGGATCAGACCAGGATCATTCTGATTTGATCTAGTTGGTCTAGTGAAATCAGTACTTTTGAAAACAGAGTGAGAAAATAAACATTTGAGAAATAAAAAAGACTGAGCTTTGGAGCAAGACATTGTTAGAGCTGAGCTCTGTCAGGTCTGACAGAGAATTTTCTTTAACATATACAGAAATAGCACTGGAGGACCCTGAGAATCTCTGCATGGTTGGATGAGGAACCACTTTGCTGTTTAATCCATGAGGTTTATTAATTTTTGTAATACACTAGTGTTATTTTAAAAAGGAAAAAAACTTCTCACTGAGGAGTCTTTGAAATACTTACGTTGCTATCTTAGAATTATTGCTAGACAATCTCAGGTATGTAATTTTATGTTTTGTTCCTTTCACTTTTATCTGTGCTCATGCCTTCTGGAGGGTGACTATGTACAGCGAACACTGGTGTTTCAGTGAGATTCCTCCTGCATGGCGGCAAGTCGAGATGAGCTTGCAAACGTATATAATAGCTGACATACCCCATGGGGTGACATTCTCCTCTCCCAGGGCTGGCCGCTTGTCATGCAATGCGTGTCCTTGCTAAGGAAAGGTACACTGCATGGGAATTGAGATAATGTACCCCTTTAAATCAGGCAGTAGTTGAGAATGAGGATCAGTTAGAGTATCCTGATTTTCAACCAGCTTGAAATAATTAATTCCAGACTCTTTGTTCCTCTTGCTTAACTGGAGAACAAATTTTGACACTTAGAGCAAACCAACTTTGTTCTGAGATCACAATAGCTTCTGCTGTGGGTAGTGGGCAAACCATGCTTGGTATTTCCTAAGCAGACTGACCTCACCACAAAATTGCTTTCAGATCTTTTCCCCAAAATTGTGCATTTTGTTGAAAGATGTACTTTTTTAAAAAAAGGACCTAAATGTTTGAGTGTTTTTGAGATCTCGTGCCTTTTGGAATTTCGTGCCATTACCGATCCATTGCATTGATGAAGCATAACCAGTCACAGAGTGCCTTGCTGAGATAAGAACTGGTTTGTCTTCCTGCAAGACCAACACGAAATTAGAAAATAGGCAGCATATAGATTCTATGCATTTAGGTTTTTTTAAAAAACATGTTTCAAGTATTATGCACCACAGGTGAAAAGTTCTAGCTTTCTCCTTGGTAATATAACCACATAAAAGAGAAGATTTTGTACCTGTAACATTGCCTCTTGTAAAAACAGAAATAAAAATGTGTGTCTTCATAAAAACAGATATTAACATCCACACTGGGGTTTAATTAGCAATCTTTTTCAATTAAGCTCAGAATTTTGAGGTTGCATTTCAGTGCATGAAGCAAGGAGGTGATGAACTGATTTGACCAATATCAAATAACAGTGTTTAAAGCCTAAAAGTTTGCTTTGCCCATTAACCACGCAATAGGTATACTATGTTTATATGGCTATACAGTATTTCTCTTATAAAACATGTGAGTTATTTGTTAGTGAAGTGATAGTGACTCTTAAAGCACATTTCTTTTTCCACAAAAACACCAAGACCTCGTACATGCAACTCTCATGTTGCTAATAAAACAACTCACAGGCAGTCATGAGAACCATCATGGTAAGTTGTGTTAGTATGATAAAAAGTCAAACTGAAGATCCTAATTAGGGATGAGAAGATAAAAATACCAAAGACCTGGTAGATTTGAATTGGTTGAGGTAATTCTTTCACTGCCTACTTTAACCTTCAGCCTTTCCTGTTTGCTTTAGTTGCTGAAATACTATCCTCACCATCATAGCTCATGAGCCCATTTTGAACTTTTTATGTAATTAATACTGCATATTGGGTTTTCCTCTTTCAGAGTGAGTGGTAGGTGAGATAAAGGTTCTAGTTTCTTTTCCAGTTTCCAGTTTCTGTGGTCAGTTGCTATTGATTTCCATGACATTTAGAATTTCTGTGATAATTTTTTTAAAAGTGATGAATTAACTGTCTTGTTAAAAGACTAATCTGGGTTTAAGGTCTGAAATAGCTAGAGGTGTAACTATCATAACACCAGATTTTCAAGGCAAACCAGAGAAACGTCTCCAAGTTTTTCTCCATCACAGCATTTAAGCTGAGTAAAACACAATTGAACATTTGTGTGAACATTTGTGTGCACATATTGAAGGAGGAAGCTACAAAGATCTAATACCAATGTCTATGGTTTGAACATAACATGTGATTTTTTTCATATCAGGATGCTTAGCAAATGAAATTAAGATGTACCCAAAGAGGTAAATTTCACCCTTGCAGTTACTTACTCTTGCACCAGACTCAATTTTCTGAACTGCTCATCCCTGTGTAGGAAATTCCACCCCTCCACCCTCCATGCAAACACAAAAGAAATTGCAAGTAATTTAAATGTTATTTGCCTCTTTAGGTTGTGGCTCACTTTTTTTCCCAGTGCACTCAAATCTGAGGTTTCTTTTCTGCACACTTAAAGGTAAAATTAACTGAACATTTACATATTATACTGTGAGAACGATAGTTAGAAACATTGAAAAAAATGAAGGGTCAGAAAATTCTTAAGAAGTTATTAATGCTACACCTGACTCTTTTCTGTGTGAGAACCTAATGGTTTGCAATCCACACCTGCTCACTGCATCACTTGGTTCTCACCTACGTTTTAGGAGACCACTAAAGTCAAGTTCTCCTGCATCGTCTTGTCCATCACCGCTGTTATTAATAGAAAAAGATCAAATCTTTGTTTAATACAGGAAGACTTAGACAACACACATCGCAAACACTCTACGTGTCTCATATACTCAACACTGTCCAGGCACACAAAAAATGGTAGAAAATCAACACAAACTTGTATTCTTTTTCACACAAATTTGTTTCCTCAGACATTTGTGAAAAATAACACAAAGGTTTGTATTGCTTGTTATTATACTTGCATGACAAATTTTTGTAACTGTATACATAAATTTGCCAAGATTTGTGTTAGATTTCAATAACACAAATAAATGTGAGCTAGTCAACACAATGAGCTTTGTTTTTCAGTTCTGCAGTATATGTGTATAAAAACAAAGGGCTTGTGCTGATCTTTTGCTATGAATGTAAAACAAAGATTTGCATTGCTGGGTGGTGCTTTTAACAACACATAGCTGTGTCAAATACTGATTGCAAAGCATGATACTTAAGATTTAACCTTTCTATAAATGAAGGAAGAAATCCGTTAAAAAAGAAGAAACAGTACATTGTTCATTTTTACAGATAAAATCACCATCCTGTGAAGGTGCATTTCTTTCTGTAATGTGACCTTAAGCAGTAATACCTTTTTATAAAGCACATATAGACAAAAGAAGTGCCCTTAATATTTGTAGAAGGGCAAAATCCTGCAAATGTTAAGTAAATGTTGTCAATGTTTCATCCCAGATTTTGCATGCAAGATATTACTTAGAAAATCAGAAAATATTCAGATATCCTCATCTGCTTGGGCAGAATAGTTATTGTAGTTTTTTTTTTAAAATGTGCTCAAGAAACAAGTGCATCTTGCATGTAATATCTTTTGCATTTAGTCTTTAAATTAAATCTCTCTAAATAAAAGCAGTTAGTTCTAAGTTACAACTTTGCTTCTATGTGTAAATTAACAAACTGCATTCTTTTTTTGTTTGTAAAACTTTTTCATTCTGAATACATCTATCCTAAGACAATTTCCTCCACAAAATGTAAAGATGACATCTATACTGGTTTGAGTTGCTGCTTTATTATAAAGGTACCTAACAAAGAAAAAGACTTCAGATACGATGCTTTATCTTATGGCCTCTGCAATATATTATTTGTAGTTCTTCTGTAACAATGGCCTTATGACACACTTTTTTACTGTAAGATAACATAAAGCCATATCCTATCTTCTTGAAATCAGTGTGAATTCTCTCTCTGCTTTTCATCAGTACAGGATTGGGACCAGGAACTTTCATATTGTAGCTGACAATTTTCAGGAAACACGTGGTAGAATATTTTAGTAAATTAAAATATGATTTTAAAAACTTCTAAAGAAACAGATATTTAATTGCCTTAAATATTCCATCTTCCCTTAAAGCAATGACACTGCAATTTCACAGTAGAGTATTTAATATCATATGTACTGTCTATGTGTTGTAACTGTTTAATTCTACCCACTACCAGCTACCCTAAACCCCACTTCTTTAATCTGTATTTACAAAAGCACTTATTTAAAACACCTGATACAATTGCCTGCCAAGATTGATGCAAGTTCTGTGCATGCTAACAGCATCCATTACTGAGGAGCTTCATAGGATCTCTGTTTGAAGTTACCTTCTTTTGAAAGCAGATCTGATGTCAATGGATGGAGCAGCTTGGGAAGATTCTATGAAATAACAGTAACACAGGAATTAAAAACATAATTTTAAATGGATGTAATTTATGTAATCAGTGTAATTTGGCAAATTAAATTTGTTCAGTTTCCTGCTAAGTGACCACAGTTTGTGCTGTTCCTTTGGCATTAAGTTCTGATAAACACAAAGCTGCTCAGTGCTAAGCTAAGTTACTTAATGCATTTCTCTGAACTGCTTTCTGCATTTCTGCACAGGAGAGCTGTCTCTGTGCTGTTTCTCTCTGATTCCCTTCCTGCCTATACAGAGGCTCTGGCCTTTTCATTTTCCCATTCCCTTTTCTTTCTCTCCTGCTTGCATCTTGCACTTCCCCAGTAGGCTCAGCATCAGAGGAAAGAGACAGTCTTCTCTACAGCTACAGGCTCGTGTTGATTCGCAGTGCAAGGATGAATCCCCCTTGGGTGAATTGCCAGTTTGCGCCAGCCTGAATCAGATTAAATGGTTCTGATCGGCAGCCAGTGCGTGGGTGCAGCCAGGCTGGCCCCTGCCTTGCTGGCCTCTGGATACACACACCTACCTATGCCCCTCGGGCTGCTAGCCAGCTGTCAAATCTCCCCTTAACTATGACCAGCTTCCCTTGACTGGGGAATGAACAGTCCAGTCTGGGCCGTTCAGTGGGAATGGTTCATGAGGGTGAACAACTATTCTGTCCACTGGTGGCTGGCCCTGGCATTTCGGAAGACATCCATCCTTCTCAGTCTGATCTTGCAGGTATGTGTGTGCTGTTGTGCTGGTAGAACTGCTCTCGAAGGAAAAGAGAAGCCTGTGGGTTAACATTTGCCAGAGTAAAGCCTTTCGTAACATAGAAGTAGACAGAGTCACGACTTTCCAGTGCTCTCCACATTGTGCTATTCTTTATTTTGACGAAGAAATAGCTTTCTGGAGTGTGATCATACCATGCCTGACCAGTGTGTAAAACGCTGGTGAGCCATGACCACTCCATGTCCCTGCACTCAGATGCTGCCAGATGAAGCCTTGCTCTCTGGATAGCCCTAAGCCTAGCTCTCTGTCTTGTGTGCCAGAGCCTGATTTGGATTCAGTACTGGTTTTATCAGCCGGCTTTTCTAATTTTTGGATAAATGTCTCACATGCTACCTATCCCAATGTTAATTTAATTAATAAATTACAGACATTTATTCTCTGAGCTCTATTCTAAAAATGTTCACTTTGAGCATTACTTCATTTAAAGTTTCTGAACAAAATTAGGTGGCATTTCAGGTTAAAAAAAAAAAATCTTAATAAAGCTTTACAGACAGAAGTGGAACCTTACCAGTGACTTCAAGGTCAAAAGAGCAACTATCAAACTTGTCCTTATAAGATACTTCACAGCGATAGTTCCCTGCGTAGTTTTCCTTAGCTTGAATGATATGCATCTCAAATGTGTGAATCTAAAAATCAAATGTAATTTTTCATTAATGTGGGGGATACATTTGCACAAATCAGAAGTTAAAAAATTAGTCTTTCAGACCCAAGCCAGGTGTATGGAATAACTCGAATAAAGGGTTCTGGAAAGAAACTGGAACCCAGAAATGGCAATGGAAAACTTTGATTTCCCCACCACTACTTGTCCTGCTCCAGGAGAGCAGAAAAGTCTGCTTCTGTGTAGTCTCAGAGATCATCACTGAAATCTGCACTGGGAAGCCAGGGTTAGAATCCACTGCTCTTGAATTTCTACCTTTTTTCTTAAACTGATCTTTAAGCTTTCTCTAACTGATCTTATGCCCTCATAAGATGGAAAAGCAAAGACACACCTTAGTGTGACGCTCAAAGGACTCTTTCAGCTGCAGGTGCTTCCCCGCTTTGCTGGCCAGATCCATCCATTTTCCTTTAAACCACTTCACATTTGGCTTTCGGAGGAGATCTTTGGCTTCTACTTTGGCTATAAATGTAATATTCCCACCTTTTGAAAACAGAAAAGAATCATGCAGTCATTGAGGAACATATGGTTGGTCAGTCACATCTGTACAAGTTTCTTTTACTACCACTCCTTCCAGTCTGCATGTGCTAGCTCTACCTTGACATTAAGAATCAAATGAAGTCCACAGGCTATGACAGTACTGCAGTGTTACAGAGATTAATGATTTCAGGTCTGAAAGTCTTCTGCCCATGTCAGTGGGGAGCTTAAGACACTGAGAAGCAGGATAAATTAGTTGAGGCAAAACTCCATGTTGTCATGGGTGAATTGTTCCCAATATTTGAATTTCCTTGCTTAAAACAAGGCTATGAGGCAGTTGCAACATGAATCAACTCCAGTCTGGAAAAGAAAGCCTGGAGCTCTTCCTGCATTTCTATCATTAACTCTTTAAGCTTAGAAGGGAGGGTAAAGAGTCATCTCTAAACAATAATTTGGGAATATTAAAAGTTAGCTCAATTTTCAGAACACCACTACCCAGCCCCTGCTGAGTTTCCATCCTAACATTCATGGGCTCCAGAGGAGAATATGGCTAACTCCTTATTTTTGTTTTCAAAATAATCCTCCCAAAATGCTATTTTTCTACTCAGAAACAGAAAAATAATAGGCATGTATAAAAAAACCCCAAAACTGACCACGCCTTAGTGTATCCAAGTACAGCACAGACATATGAAGTAGCCTGTACTGAACTTCTCACCATTGCTGCTACCCTGCTTAGGGTGCAGCTACCTTACCATGCTAGGATGGCTCAGGAGTGCAGTTTGGAAGTGAACCTCCTAACTGGCCCCATTTACTGTGCTCTGGTTCACTACACAGAAAATCCTCACAGTGTTTGAACTGGATTCCTCTGGGATGAAATTAAAAGCAAAGATGTGCTCTGAATGTCTACCACCTGTGCTCCAAATGCTCATAGGTGGGTAGACCACTGGACTAAAGCAGAGTTAGTCCAAAGCAAGCCCCCCAGAATGCTTACAGTGTGGGTGACCCTACCAACTTCCCTACAGAATTGCTCCTGTTAGTCTGCTTGACCCGGCAATCTCTAAGCTACACTGCAGGTCTTTGCATAGATCTTCCTGACATGTCACTGACAGTACAGCCAACAGTGTCACAGTAACCAGCTCTCACCTCCAGAAACGATATACCTCTTACCCATTGTGCTCAGTAAACTATTAGATTTTGAGTTTTTCTTGAATTAAACAGTTGGTTTTGATTCTGTTCATACCATCCTTTTTGCCTTAAAAGAGTGGAGTTCACATCCAAATAAAAACTGTGGAAGTACTTGCAGCTGAGGGCAGAAGCCGAGTGTCACAGGAACACACAACAGCATGTACCCTTCCTGGCTGCCCCTCAGCCTGTGTCTCTGTGCGAGTGGCTTTTGATTTTGTTTCTAAGCACTTACCAACACTCACTGAACCACTCTGAGGTTTTTCGATGAATAAAGTGGATCTTTGGGAGTCATCACGTTTTTCTGTTTCTTCTGGAGCTCCTTCTCCAAGAGACCATACTGAGATGCAGAGAGAGAGGGAAACGTCAATTATCTGAGCATGTAGTACTCCATCAAGAATACACTTACCTGAACTTACTAAACTCTCTAACCCTATCACCTCTCTCTTCAGGTGTCCTGAAAGATATGTAAGTTTTTGTTCACACTGACATCCATTGCTTGGCTGTCACACTGTGTACAGTACCTCTGTGGTGACAGAAAATTAAACTACCAGGGAGGAAGAGAGGGGAACCTGATCAGTCAAGACAGGTACTGAGCAACTTGAATGGCACCAGCATTCAACCATGAGTGCTTTACAGACGCAATGCATGAATGCTCTTTGTTTTTCAGAAGAAAGGGAGGTTCTGAAAACACAAACAGCTGTAAGCACAAACAAAACACGTATGATGCGTAGTTCCGGTGGGTCTCTCTCAAACCCAAACTCAGTCCATTGTACAAGCTAGTTTTTCCTCTTTGTCCGCAAAACAGGGCAGGGAGTAAGCTTACTTTTGCACTTTGTTCTCTTTTACCATGATAGAAGCAGAGAGCTTGGGGATCAGTCAATACTGCATCCTGCCCCGTGCATAGGCTGATGTTTCACAGAGAATGGTTTGTCAGATGGAAATGATTGTGTCCCATGTTCAGACACAGCACCTTCTCTTCTAGAAACTGAGGTTTTGTAATGGAGTAGCAACAGCTGTGTCTCACTTGTTCCCTTTGTGTCAGAAGCAAAGGTAGCTTTTTGTAGTTTATCCAATGCTCTTTTGATTTTGGTTTCATAACTAGCATAAATGAGGAACCAGTCACACAACACTTCTCACTTAGTCAAACCCTGGTCTTGAAATTAAAAGTTCCTTTCCCTGCTCAGTGTTTTCTGCAGAAAATAATTTGCCAGAAGTAACAATTGCCTTTCTACTGTGTAGAGATTACTGCTACAGGAACCTTTTTAACTGATGAAAATTTCCATTGTTCAGCACAACTCATGACAACCATGAGAAAATGCAACCAAACAGTTTTTATTATCCTAAAATCTATTAGGAATTTTTAAAAGGTATAGAAATGTTAGGTAGCTTTGCTATAAAATCCTTGCCTTTCAGTCTTTCAGTGAATTACGGGTGGTGTGCCTAACTTCTCTGCATATGTCTGCTTGTACAATATTTCTTACAGGAAAAGACATACATGTATATACACATGTATATACACATATATGAAAACATATACACAGACATACATGAACACATATATAGATACACATCTATATATACTGTCTCTGTGGTCTAGATGTTTACATTATGCCAGTATAACATGCTAGTGTATGGAAACAACGTAAGAATGAGTGAGAGTTACTGGTGTGAATAAAATGATGTGACAAGGCTTGGTACAGGAACTGGTCAGGTGCAGTAACAGACCTAACACACAACAGGATGAAATGGAAAAATGTTATTAACAAATGGAAGAAGCTTACATAGAGTCATTAATTTGGCATTACATAAAATAACACCTAAATATTATCATCACCTTTACATATTAACGTTTTCCTATTTATTAATCAAACAGAACAGAAGATGGGTTTGGCTTTGGCTCAGGGGGCTGGCATAGGTGGCTATGCCAGCTCAATAACCATGGTTGAAATACCTGCTGCTCATTCTGTTCCAGAGGCTGCAAATCCTGAAACCACAAAAGTGGGTGCAGTGTGCGTTACCTGCCAGGGTAGGAAGAAAGAGGTTATGACTTTGCTAAGTTTTCCCCACCGTCCTTTGAGCTGTGAGAAGAAGCCATTCTCCTACAGTCTCCTGGGGCCTGTGTGTGGGATTCAGGTAAGCCACTGTCACCCTGTAGGCTGAGGAGGAAGGGAATAGCTGCGTATCTATCTATATAGAAATAGATATAGATAGATAGGTATGTATGTATGTGCAAAATACTGATACATGTCCTGTCTTGTGCAGCAAAGCCTTCTCTCACTCCTGCTTTAGCTGCTAGAAACCTGTTTGCTCTGATACCTAAAAGCATTTCAACAGTTACAGTTTGGTACTGTATAAATAATGAAAATAAAATTAAATATTATCTTTAAGAAGCAAAGTATTAATAATTGTATTGTGTAAGTTTTGGAGTGTTTCATCATGTTTTTCTGGAGATCTCACCTGAATCTTTTCTTTCCGCTGGCTTAGACATCCCATCTGAAAGGGAAGAGCAATTTAGAGACACCAGCTCAGAGATCACAGCTTAACTGACCTCAGGTCATTGGGATTTTAAGAACATTGATTCTCCATGCAAGAAGATTAGACTAGATATTTAGGATCATACTCATGAGGAACTACTTGAATATCAGAAAAAAGAAGTGAACAGCTGAGAAAAAAAAATCATAAATCTTTCCTCCTGTTCTCTAGAAAATCTAAATGAATTAAGTTTAATTCCCATTTAAGATTTCCTTTTTGGTAGTTCATATTTAGAATGGTTCTGTGAAGCCAATGCTTTCTTCATGATTTGTGTAGTTCCAGATAACAGATGAATTTATGTTCTTCAATATTTATCTGAGGGGACAGTACTTTGAATTATTTAAGTAGTCAATTTATATTTATCTAGGTTGAGCAAAATAACAATAAATAGTTAAAATGAAATTCTAGGGGTTTGTGATTTGCAACGTTGTTTATATATTTAGCTTTTGCTACTGTGATCCTCTAGTACTGTAAATCAATGTACTGCTACTGACTTTACAGATAGCATTCAGCTCAAAGTTAATAATGCAAATTCTTTTGGGAGAAATGAAGAAAATGCAATCATTTAGGGCAGCGAAGGTAATTAAGAGCATGTTTTTCATTTGATACACTGCAAAACATTTTCTAGTGTTCAAAATCTCTGTGTCATTCACAGTTTATTTTTAAAATAACATATGAAGCAAGCAATGGAGAAATTTTGCACGTCACATCTGTCATGATGGACCCCCATGCCATTGCTTTTCTTTTAGTACCAACAACCAAAGGCATTTTATGTGCCAGCTTGGCAGCAATGGCTTGGAGCAGTACGTTAAAACTATCTTGTAGGTCATATGGCCTAAGGTGAGGTGATAGACAATTATGTGGGTAAACCTGTTTTGAAGTCATAAGGCATCTATTTTATTTGTAATTCTGGAATTTTACTCTCAAGACTAACCTTAAAAATGCACTCCATGTTACTTGATATGAAAAGATAAGAGAGGTTGCTTTCAGAGCTGCTAACCAATATTTTACCTTCCAATGGCAGAAGTTCTACCAAAGACCTCAAGACATGACTGGAAAGGAACTTCTCTGGTATTAAGATCTTGTACTTCAGAACAGAGATCAATTTAATGTAGGGCACTTTAAAAAGCTTTTTCTCTAATTAGTATTATTTGAGTTCAGTCATTTGGTTTGGACTCTTTCTTCGTTAACAGTCAAGAGAAAAATACATACATACATACACACACAAAGCACTATCTCAGTCCTAACCTGCTGGTGGAGTGCTAACTGAAGTGTCATCTTCATCTGTGAAAAGAAATACAAATATAAAAGTACATAAAGAAACTGAAAGCACAATCTTCTGCTTTAAAACAACTACGTGAAAATGTAAAACCTGCAAAAAGAAAGGGAAAAAATCATAATAGTCAGGAGCATTCACAATGTTCACAATGGAAGCTTCAAACTGATGAAGAAAGCTTTGCGTAATTCAGTAGCTGAAATGGTAAACCTTAATTTTTCAAGCAAGTAGAAGAAAAATGAGATGTGGACTGTGATCTATTATTAAATCATGAGTTTATATGAAAGCTGCTGAGTGGTTCTGTTTGTTAGACATGTAATCCACAGTGAATACAAAAAAGCCACAATGAAATCAAGGTCAATCACATATCTGACCTGAGGAAGATTCCATTTCTCTGATGTCCATGTCTGCAATTAAAATGTGCACCACATATGCATTCAGCATCATTAAATCAAGATATGCAACAGTTAAAAATAGTCACTTGTATCTATATTTTGTAATTTCTGTATTAGAATATTAGTTTAAAATGCAAGCAATAAACAACTATTTTTTCCCCCATGTTATAGGAGAATAATTTAAAATAAGAACAGAACTATTATCATCACACTGGATTTTCCTTTTAATCACACTGGAAGTTGTCCATCATCAGGTGTTAAACCACTACAAGCAAATATTACCCAGGTATTTTATAATGTTTAATCTCATAGAGTACATTGAGGTATATATAAGTATATAAATATATATAGTTCAAAACCTGAAATAACAGGAAACTGGTGTTAAACCTGAAATAGTATAAGCATGATTATTAGAAAAACAGAATAAGGTAAAGACTATCTTTACAAGAGTCTCCTACATCTCTTTGAATATTAGATGTTGACTAGAAACCTCAGAGGTATCAATTTCTGATAAAAATATGGAAAAAGTCTTCGTGTCTTAAAAGCTTAATGGTAAAAAGAGATTCAAATTACAAAGGTAGCATTTGAAAGGCTAGAAGAAACTGATACATTTAGGATTTAATACATACATAATGGAAAGATAACGTCTTTTATATGGTATCAGACAATCAGCTGGAGAACATTTCAATGTGGAGGAAAAGAGAGCTGAACAAGAACAACTTTGGAAAAACATTAACCCACATTTTTAAAGAGGAGTGGTTTGGGGTTTTTTCGATTTTAGATTTGGGTTTCCAGAATCATATTTTAATTCTGAAGTTATCTTTTGATTTTGACCATAAAGGTATAATTTTGCTATGTTTTCTCAAGGACAAATGAAAATAACTATGACAAAACCACAAATAAAATATAGTTACATTTTTGTAAATACTGATCATATTAATTTTTTGTGCTTGCTTAACAACTGAAGGCTAGTTGAAAGTCTGTTAATAGAATTTAACTACTTAGCTGTAACATTTTACTCATTCCCTTTTAATGATTCATCAAACTTTGCAAAAATCCCTTAGGAGGAGGATGTCAGTTGTAAAAGGTAGGCCTACACATGAAGGATTAATGTGTTATTTTACAAAAATGGTC